CAAAAAGTAACAAAAAAGCAAAAATAAATGTACTCAAAGTAATACATATTTCCATTTAGCTAAATAGAAAATAATATTTATTAACTATTTTGTAAGTCGGTCCAAGTAAAACAATAATAGTGTAAAGATATTACCTACATGCCTGTAGCTAGTTTGATGATTAGTATGTACCGATCAATATATTTTTCTAATACTGTTGTTGTTTGGTATGTAGCATTTACTTGGCACCGACGTCAAAATTATAAAATAGTTATTATATATCATTTCAGCTCCGGCGCAGAAGTAGAAGGATCAGGATGGTTTTAGTCAGTAAGAGCCTGACACTCCCTTTTACCCCACTCTGGGTGAAAGAGGTCCTTTGGTGATTTTTCACTCAAAGAAAGCATTGTCGCAAAGTCGAACCGAACCAAAAGTGCACATTTTAATAATTTAATCTCAATAATAATTCGCTTTACACTGAAATCTATACCAACAAAGACCTCTTATTCCACAATCACTTAGCCCACAATAGACTTCCAATTTGTTCATTTATTACATTAAAAACCAATTATGTGAAATTATTTCCATGAAAGTTCACTCTAAGAGTTTAAGATGTTGGAATTCCATTTGAGTCGTTCATTTTGTTTCATTTCCTGCTTTACTGAGCAATGAAGTTTTGAATGATGAACTTACTGGTTTTTAATAATTTTAATAAATAGAAGTATTTTATAAGTTGAAATGAAACAAAAATGAAGAAGAATAAAATAACATGTAACTTAATAAAACCTTTTTTATACTCTCTGTAACATCATCACACGTTTTAATCCTCGAGTAAGTAGCCAGAGATTCATAATCTATACTAATTTTATATAAGTACTTACGCGGTTTCACCCGCTGCTCTGCCCGTACAGATCAGATTAAATGTCCCGTGCTTGATGTTTTATAGCCTATAGCCTTCCTCAATAAATAGACTAACAAATAATTTTTTTTTCAATTTGAAACAGCTGTTCCGGAGATTAGCGCGTTCAGTCAACCAAACTCTTCAGCTTTATAATACCAATAAAAGTATAGATAAAGCTGAACAATTTGTTTGTATTCAATGCGCTAACCTCCAGAGGTAGGGTAGACTGGGTACGGTTGAAACAATTTGGCATATTAGGTTTATAATTTTGTCATTTATTAACCAAATGATCATTCTGTGTATCATATTTTAAACACACATTATGAAATTGAAATATGAAGTTTTAGCTACGATATGAAAGTGTCATTATGGTTTTCAAATTACTATTTTTGGAAATATGTGAAATTAAAAAATATTTATAATTAGTTTAAACCGGCCCCATGCCAGGGGCGGTTGAAGCAGCGATTGGGGTCAATTGAAACACATAAAAATAAAACAAGATTTTAATACTTCTAAAACGTTTATCAGCCTTTGACAAGTACCTAGTAAAGATTTAATGAAATTACAAAAACGGTAGTAATAGGTATCAGAATAAACTTAACGAAAACTTCTTTAAAAACAAATAGACTTTGAAAATAAACTAACTAAGAGACACTTCTAAAATTAATAAAATCAACATTGTCAATAAACTAAAAGAAAATATTTTTAAATCAAATAAACAATCAAAATAAACGAATAAAGAAACCTCTGCTTAGATCGAATAGACATGGAGAATTAACTTAGAGAAAACATTTAGCTTAGGCATTAATCGGAGTATGCAACTATGGCAAACGTAGCTAAGACCACCTTCTGTGCATTCTTCGTGTGCTCACTGTTTACACGAAGTACAATGAATCCACTTCTCTCCAGATCTGCTCTCTGAATATGGTGCTAAGCAAACAATACAGTACCATTCTGATGCTTCCGACGAAAATTCCAGCTTAGTATTTTTTTCTTGCCTTCTGAAATTTCTTTTTTACCTTTCCTTCCATCTAATCTTTTCTTAACTTGCGTAGCTTTGGCCCGTTTTAATTTTACTTCATGCTCTTTTCTAATTTCTTCTTTCTCTGGTGTACCTATCAGTATAAATAGTTGATTTTCTAGTTTTTCGCCCTTTATTACATTTCCTTGGAGATGCTTTTGGTAATGGTCTTACTGCCTCCGGAGTAAATGCTATTCGATCATTAGTAGCTTGTGCACTAGTAGACGGTCTTGGTGTAATATCTTTACAGACACCGATGCTGCCCAGTCTAGGTGGTGTGTTTATAGTTTCTTCAGGTTCATGAACGTTTACTTGCTCGATTATTGGAGCTGGTGAGTCATTGAGGACTTGTTGTTCAACTGTTGTCTGGAGAGACAATTGTAATTCTTCAGTTAAAAGAGAAGGCGATAATGGTGGTGTTTCATCTTCAGTTGGATTATCATTACATATAGGAACAATTGCTGGCTCAGTAATATTTTCTGGATTAGGTATCTCTGTTCTCTCAGTTGTATTTTCTGGATTAGGTCTATCGATCATAATCATAATCGATTCCAGTAAACAAATTTCGGTTATATGGATAAATTCCAGTTTTGCGAAAACCGGCTTGAATGTTTGCAGATGTCATAGCAAGGGGCATAGCAGACGCTACAATCCCTGGTATGTCATAAATAGACATAGTTTTTCCTGGATGGCTCCTCATCCACGCATCACACGTGGAATTTACAGCCTTCTTTAAAGGGCCATATACGGAACGATCGAGTGGTTGCAGCTTGTGAGAGCAATGCGGAGGAAAAGACAATAAGACAATTCCATTGTTCTTGCAATAGTCCAGAGTGTTTATGTGAACGTGTGAGGAGTGGTTGTCTAGTATGAGTAACACTTTGTGTGACAGAGAAACCTTAGAATGCTTTTTAAAGTGTTCTAGAAAATGCAGAAATGATTCATCTTGAATCCATCCTGAGGGGTTAGCGGTTCCTGCAGACCCTACGGGCCCATCCCTAACAAAATGGTCTTGGTATCGCACTCGCGGAAATACAAAGAATGGTGGGAAAACGTTTCCAATGGCGTTTACTGCAAAAGTCACTGTCACTAAAGTACCCCTTTCAGCTGAGGTCACTGAACCAACTTGACGAGAACCACGTCTGGCTATAACTCTATCGGGCTTTTGCACGGTGGTTATGCCGGTTTCATCTATGTTGTATATGTCTTGGGGCTCGAATTTATAACGATCCATTACAATGGATAAATTATCATAGAAGCCCTGTTCATTCGTTTTGTTAAAGCTTGTCGCCCTTGACAAGCTTGTAGCTTGTGCGGCGCGTACAGACAGTTCAGGGTTTCTTCTCATAAACATACGAAACCATTCCTCACCAGCCATTCCGTTTTCTTCCCAAATTCGAGGTCGTGATATATTATACTTAGTAGTAAGTTCGTAAGCTAATTTTCTCACCTCTTTCTTAGATAGTCCGAAATATATATCAGCACATCGTATCAAATATTTTGATAATTCTCGCTCCTGATCTTCATTAAAAACACGATTGTGTGCTTTATACCCCATACCTGTATCGTCACCACCGGTCGCATCTCGCTTTCGAATGTATCTTAACAGGGAACAATGGTTTATACCATGCTTTTCCGCCGCTTTTCGTAAGGTTTCTCCAGCTTTTACCTCCTCATATGCATTACTATAACTCGATAAGTCAATGTTCCCTCTGGAAGTCTTCCTAACTCGAACTCTCGGCATCTACAAAAAAAAACGTAAATATATTTTCTGTTTCAACCGTACCCACAAAAAATGTTTCAACCGTCCCCAACCCCACTATACGTATAATATACTCTATATTTACGACAGCAATCATAATACATTGAAAATAGTCACTATTCCTTATTCTACAAGCATCGTAATAATAGCAAACACGTTTTAATACATTCACCTAAAAATAACAGATAATAAAAGCATTAATGTCAGAAGAAAAATACTTACTTTTGTGTAATAAAAATCAATATGGCGTCCTGCACACAACCTCAACGCGCGGGATACGGCGCGGCACTGTTTTCGTGTTTGGACCTGTCGTCCGCTTCGTCTTCCCCTTGCACCCCGTACTCCCCGCGTAACCATTTACGAGATATTTACTCTGTTTCAACCGTCCTTTGTTTCAATCGTACCCAGTCTACCTTACTGGTTCAAATTAAATAAATATTTTTGAGTTGAATAGTCCATTCGTTGTGAAATGCTACCACCACCGAGGCCCAAGCAGTCTCAAAGGCGGCGAAGGAATAGATCGTTACATTGAATACATACATACATACATTCGTACATAGATTATACAGATACATAGATTATTACAATGTACCTGTGTACTTTTACGTCACTATTTAATAAGTCTCATCCCATTTAATCGAAGTACTTTAAAGTACCTACATAGTTGCTAATACCTACCTATTCATAGGAGAAAAAAATACGACGCATAAAAAATGCCACATTTATGGAATAGGAAACTTCGTAATAAAAATCTATTACCGGCCATTACGAACAACAAGGAAGCCAGCAATTGACGGTAAGCACTTTATTCAGTTCATACCATCGAATGAATACTAAAATGAAACTTTCTGGTACCTACTGAATAATTTATTTTTCGAACTGTGAATTAGAACCTATTTTAGAATGTCTGAATAGTTGCTGTGACAGATAAATTTGAATATCAAACGTAATTTGGTTAGGCGACATCTAGCGACAAAAACACAAAAGGTGTCAAAGTAAACTCTAAACCCCTTATTACAAAACAAGATTTATGTTAATTCACGCAGGTTAAGCATAGAGTCTGGTTTTGTTTTTAGAATCTCATTCAAACCTATCTTCAATTCGAAATACAAAAACCGGCTCGATGGTTTAGACCAAAGTTTTTTTTTGTGTGATAGGTCGGCAAACGAGCAAACGGATTACCTGATGGTAAGCAATCAGCGTTGCCCATGGACACCCGCAACGACGAAGGAGTTACGAGTGCGTTGTGGACGTTTTGGGGATGAGGGATTTGGAGATTTTTGAAAGGGAACGGATTGGGGTAAGGGAAGGATTGGGCCCCCGGTAACCTCACTCACACGGCGAAAGACAACTCTTTGGTTATTTCACGCCGGATTTCTGTGAGGCAGTGGTATAACACCGGTCGAGCCGACCCATTCGTGCCGAAGTATGGCTCTCCCACACTTAAAAAATACAAAAATTCACTGTTCAAAAAATACTAAAGGCTGTTATCAAGAGTAGATCAATTTGCTGCGGATATTTCATTTGGCATTCCGTGTTGTCCTTTTTCCTTTTTAAAAGAAATAGTTATAGTGTATTATATGTTGTTTGTAAATAATAATATTAAGTACTTCAAATATAATTTTAATGCCCGAGCGTATGGCGCGTAGCGTTTCGAGCGCGCCTCATAGAGCCAATAGACTACCACAGACGTTGCCCTATAGGGCTGATGTTCAGCCGGGGTTGCGGGGTAAGTGCAATGAGGCACCGCGACCTCGGCCCAGAGCAGGTGAAGGAACAGGGGGGTTTTTAGTCAGTAAGAGTCTGACACTCCCTTCCGCCCGGCCCTGGGCGGGAGAAGTCATTTGATGATTTTCCCCTCACAAAAAAAAATAATTTTCATACTTACGCTTCAGATATTAGAGCTCGTAGCTTGCAGAAGACGATACCCAAACTATATGGATACTGGTGCCAATAGACAGACAGATCGTTCGGAAGACCTGTAACAAAATAAACACAGTGAGTTATACACATATACATATAATTATATCAAAGTAAACTTTTAATCAAACTATTATATCCTTTATAGGGTTCAAACGAACATAAAATTAAATATACTTGTAATACGTGGACCCATCTTATATTATTGATTGCCAAAAATCATCACTTTTTTATGGTATAGGTACGCAAACGGGCCGACCTAATGGTAAGCTACCGGCGCTGCCCATGGACACCCGCAAAAGGTCGGCAACGCATCCGTAACCGCCGACATATCACATAAAAAAAAGGTATGACTGAACACAACATGCCTTGCACCGCACCGCTTTTCCTTAAATGATGTAGGTAGTTTGGGATAGCCCTGGTTCGTCACGAATGGGCTGACTCGATAACAAATCCTTTACCCTCAAATCTCAAAAGGCCGACAACGCTCCCGTAACTGCTATAGTATTTTTTAAAGCAGAAACAGTTGAAGTCGAAACTTTAACAACGCAATCCAAACTAATATAATAAATGCGAAAGTAACTCTGTCAGTCTGTCTTTTCTTCACGCCTAAACTACTGAACATAGTTTGGAACTCAAGAAGGGACATAGTATAGTTTTTAAACCAAAAATCTGCAGGAAGTCACTATTCCGCCAAGTTGCGGGCAAAATCTAGTTAACTAAATAACAAAACTTTTTAAGACTTCAAGCTCACTCAATCGACATGCAGTAAGCAAATAACTCCTCTATTTTGTATAAGAGGTTTATTGCTATCGCATTTTGGAATAATAATGGGAAATGCGTACACAACTTTATGCTACAGCCGTTGCCAATATTGCTACAAAATTCTCTACCACTCCTATAGGTCATTAGAGAAATACAATTTACGTAGAACGCTCTAGAACAGTTAGCAACATGTGGTGTAGCCAATCGTACGTAAAATTAGTCTGTAGGAATAGTTTCCGAGGCCATAGCACTAAGCTAACGCTTGACTGGTTGGCCTATAAGCTGATAAAGTTGTAGATATTTTCTAGCAGCTGTTATAGTTTGGTCCTCGTTACGGAAGGCGTGTACAAATGGGAAGACTTGTAAAATAATATACACTTAACCGAGGTTGACCCCGGTTATTGTAAAGAACCATTCAGTCTTCACTAGTTTGTACACTAAATACATTTTTTTTATGTTATAGGTCGGCAAACGAGCAGACGGATTACCTGATGATAAGCAATCAGCGCCGCCCATGGACATCCGCAACGGAGGAGTTACGAGTGCGTTGCCGACCTTTTAGGGATTAGGGATTTGGAGATTTAGGGATTGAGGAGGGATTGGGGGAGGGGAAGGATTGGGCTTCCGGTAACCTCACTCACACGGCGAAACACAACGCTGTGGTTATTTCACGACAGTTTTCTGTGAGACCGTGGTATCACTCCGGTCGAGCCGACCCATTCGTGCAAAAGCATGGCTTTTCCACACTTGAAAAATAAAATACGTAAAGATTAAAAAGATTGTGTAACAAGCTTTCTGGTGGATTTAAATTGTGCAGAGCTGTGACTTTTATTAGCAAGGAGACAGTAGGACTATGGACACAAAGTAGACAAAAATTCATAGATATCAAATTTTGAAACTGATTAAAAAAAAATAGTAACCATTTCGATTCTACGCGTGTCGTTTTACTAGATACCAATGGACTGACACTTTTTAACTTCTTTTATTTAATTATTTTGTTGATATTGAAAAGTGTTTTAATATTTAATGGTGTAGTTGAAATAAAATTCGTAGATTTTTTTTTTGGCATTATTTTTGGATCACACAAGTCATTCCATTTATCAATCGGGTTCATGACACTCCACACAACAACCATTGAACTAAGCAATGTAAATGTAACTACAATAACAAAGAATAAAATAATTTTATTCAAGAGTATTCTGTATTCCAAGCTCCGCTGTGAACTCATGTGGAAAGCTGTTGAGTTGCTCTCTAACGTTCAAAGTGTAAAATGTTTTAGGTATGTACAATATTATTCAAATATTTATTACTTATATTGATTCTGCTTAAGTACGTAACTGAAGCATAGTTACATTTAAAAATGTGGTATCACTTCTAAGTAGTTGTTTACGCTTACGCAAGTTGAAAGCCGCGTCGTCCATTCGTCGTATATTGGATTGGAAAGGGATGGGAAAAGGGGAAGGGATTGGGCCTCCCGGTAACCTTACTGACAACGCTGTGGTTGTTTCATACCGGTTTTATGTGAAGCCGTTGTATCATTCCTGTGAAGCCGACCCAGTCGTACGGAAGCTTGGCTCTCCCAAACTTAAGTGCAGGGAACCGTGTCATTTCCCGCTCAAACATAACAACATTTATTTTATAAGCAACTAGTGACCCGCACCTGTTTCGCGCCATTACAATGCTGATTGAAAATATATCCACTTTCAAATTGATGTTATTATACATATATCTACATAAACCTTCCTCTTCAATAAGTCTATTTATGTAAAAAAAAACTTTATCAAAGGCCATAGCGTTGATTTAAAGATAGGCAATACAATATAGTGTTGTAGTACAATGTAGTGTAGTTCAGTTTGAAGCGCGTTGACGCCTTCTGGTTTGTTCTGTATTCTGAGTATTATATGTATCTAAATGTTGCCTTACATGCCAGTACTTTTTAATCATTGTGTGCTTGTTTAAAACCTATTATTAACACTTCTCTGCATCACCCTTGAGGTTGACTGGTAGAGAATGCCTTCGGGCATTAAGTCCGCCTTTGTATATATTTTTTTGTATGTACATAAAGTGTTAAATAAATAAATAAATATAGTGACAGAGAAAGCGACTTTACACTATGTAGTGTTTTATTTTTTATTTTATTATAATAGGTTCACCAAGAATTGTTTACACAATTTCAATTATAAAGTACATGCTTAACAAAAATATTAAAGTGTAACAATCACTTAAAGGTGAACACCGCTTGTTGTATGACGGATCGCACGACGCGCCGTGTCTCCTAAAAGGAGGCCATATTGGTTTATGGAACGAAGATGGTAGTCGCTCCGCTTATTACCAATTCCGCCTAAAACACACTTTCCCCAGAAATTAATTTGAAAATGCCAGAAAAAGAAAGAACAGTGTAACATTAATTTAGCAAGGTATTTTAACTTTTCCAATAAAAAACCTCAGCCTACACCTACACTTAGCTTCATGAAAACAAACGAAACAATCTTAGGGCTAAAATTATTTACCGATCTACAATCTCGGAACAAAAAATTGGTTTTATTTTTCTTGAAATGCAACCGAGTCCGAGTAGATGTATTAAAATTACATTGTTGTGAATTATACTCAATGCTTTCTTGCATGCATATGTAAATAAAAACAATTGTTTTCGTAGATGAATATTGAATACAAGTACATATAATATAAATAAATAAACAGTCTCAAATAAATGTTTTTTTCTTTCTTTTCTTTCTTTTCTTTCTTTTCTTTCTTTTCTTTCTTTTCTTTCTTTTCTTTCTTTTCTTTCTTTTCTTTCTTTTCTTTCGTTTCTATCTTTTCTTTCTTTTCTTTTTTTTCTTTCTTTCTTTCATATAATATGTATAAGTACTATTAAGTACTGGATTAATTGGCATGTTAAACAATTTTTTTTTTTTTTTTGTGTGTGTGATAGTATTTTAGCAATAGGTAAGTAAGTTTAAGTGTGGGAGAGCCGTCGTCGTCGTCACGAATGGGTCGGCTCGACCGGCGTGATACCACGGCCTCACAGAATACCAGCGTGAAACAACCCACAGCGTTGTTTTGCCGTGTGAGTGATGTTACCGGAGGCCCAATCCCTCCCCTTCCCAATCCTTATATCCGCAACCCCCATCCCCAAAAGGCCGGCAACGCACTCGTAACTCCTTAAGTGTTGCGGGTGTCGATGGGCGGCGCCGATTGCTTACCATTAGGTAATCCGTCTGCTCGTTTGCCGACTTGTATTTAGGAGTGAGCATGAAGGCACTTTTTGTGTAAAATAAATAAATAGTTTTTTTTTCTGTCTACATTAATTGTCCGTACCGACAGCAGAATAATTAGCTGTCAAACTTAACGTCAATGTGGTACTTTGTTATTAGCAACGTTAAAAAAAAATTGAGTTAGCTATCTATATCTGCCGGGGTCGCGGGGTAAGCGCAATGTGGCACCGCCTTGAAAACTTTCCAAAGAATTCTTACTGAGAAATATTATTACACCAATGATCCTTTCTTGTTTATTAAAAATAGTACTTATTATAAGTATTTTAATTCAATTTTGTCATTTAAATTTTACATCTTATCATAGACGAAACCTAGCCCGCGTTGCCTATTTATAAGATCTATATTTTTTATGTGACAAAAAACCACGATCAGCTGACTTTATTCCTCAGATTTTGCAAAAAGATCGGTTATTGATTAAGTAAATAGATATTGTTACTATTTACTGTTAGGTTAACGTGACCTCCTTTTACAAATTGATTACACCCACATACATAAGTGTTAAGTTGTCTTTCGATCCTGACCGTAGGGGTTGACAGATTTGAACCTTTATACGATTCACTGAATTATTCATTCAACACCACCTAGTCCACCTACCTCAAACAAAAATTTAGGCGAACCCTTCAAAGAAATTTCATTGAAATAAACGAAAAATGTCGACGTAAAAAATTTTCATAACTATCTTAGGTTCCTGATTAAATATTTATGACGTTTTTTTTAAGAAAAAATCGTTTTATATGGTAACAAGAGCTCGTCTAGAGGAAGTCCGGATGTACACTATAATACTTTTGTTGGAAATAAAATTATATTTTTTTATTGATTGGCGCATCCCTGCGTTGCCCAAGGCTCGCTTGAAAGAATATTCTACTATAAATATAATATTTTTATAAGAACTTACAAGCTTTAACCCGCGAATCCTTTTAAATAATTGTATCATGTATGACATCTTAAAAACAACAGCATTTAAAGCGATATCTCGAGTAAAATCAAAAATAATTTATATTTTTTTATGTAATAAGTCGGCAAACGAGCAGACGGATTACCTGATGGTAAGCAATCAGCGCCGCCCATGGACTCCCGCAACGGAAGAGTTACGAGTGCGTTGCCGACCTTATAGGGATTAGGGAATTGGAGATTTAGGGATTGGGGAAGGGTCCGGGAAGGGGAAGATTTGGCCTCCCGCAACCTCACTCACACGGCGAAATACAACGCTGTGGTTGTTTCACGGTTTTCTGTGAGGCCGTGGTATCAATCCGGTCGAGCCGACACATTCGTGCCGAAGCATGGCTCTCCCACACTTACAACTCAAAAACATTGTAGCTATCAATCAGCGGAAGATGTTTGATAATACGCCTAGCGGTTTCAAAGATACATACAAACTTAATTTTACTTCATCATAACATTAGGAAATATCTATATAAAGAGGTCAAATTTGTAAGTTTGTATGTTGGGGGTTATATTTGGAACCGCTGATCGGATTGTCAAAATTATGTCACTGATAGATAACTACAATATTCCCGAGTGCTAATAGGTTATAAAACATCACGCTACAATCAAATGGAGCCGAGCAGCGAGTGAAACCGCGCTGGAGTAGCTAGTAAATGATAAATAAAAAATATATCCGTAAAATACTACAGCTTATTAGCACTAAGTACAATACGTTTTAAAAATACTAAAAGTTATTTTTAAGGTTCTTAATATTGTCACATAACATCGCATAAAATAAATAATTATGTTACAAAAATAAAAATATTTATTATATAAGAGGGTAAAGTCACTTTCAACTTTAACGTAACGTTTTAAAGTTTAACTTTTAATGACGAGAGCGGAAACAATAAGATGTACAAACGATAAATCTTTGATGGAAAATAAATTAGATTGACGGTAAATCATCAAACTTTGTCCAAACCATGAACCTCCTTAATGAACAAAGTAAAAGCCTCGTTTCTCGTCCTTATTTCTGTTCTATTTGGAACGAGGTATTTTTTTATTATTATTAGAAATAACCTTTTCAGTAATAAGTCCATTTATTTCTATGCATAATATAATTACTAACTTTTAAACATTCGCGTTTCATATTAACAACATATATTTATTTACAGGGGTGTTAACTCCGACAACTATTATTTAAATACCTTGGTAGGCTTGACGTGACGCTTGACAGGTCGTGGTCACAAGCAGACTGACCTGTGCAATCGGGTCGAAACGTCAAGCCTACAATACCGCCGACGTATCTTGGCGAGTCTGAAATTAGCCGATAAGCTTCGCAGTACACAATTTTGTTCCTAAAAGATCCATCGCGCAGACAAACGGCTAACTTCAGACTCGCCAAGATACGTCGGCCGCACTGTACCAATAGGTATTCAAATAATAATTGTCCGCGTTAATACCCGCGTAAATAAATATAATATGTTGTTCGTGTTATAATTATTGGTCTCCAAATATTGCGTAGGTATGTGACCTCATTTTTGGTGTGGAGACAGAAAATTTACATGCGGTAGAGCAATGTTTTTTTATTGTTCGGCTCGACTTGATCTTTGATCGTTACTTGAGTGAGGCTATCGGAAGCCCGAGCCTTCCCACATATCTTTTTCTGCAAATTCTCAAAGCTTTCCCATCTATAAAAAGACTGGCAGTCCACTTTTTACTGTGATGTACGGGGGACGTCGATTACTTATCATGGGGTTATACGTACCCCTTTGCCGGCCTGTGCTATAAAAAAAATATAGACAAACGTAAAATAATTGGATGTTACTTCTGTTCTGCCTTCGCCTTGGCTACAGGCGAAACCACTAACCAAAACTACACCCTACTAACGTAAAAACTACAAAAAAATATTTTGAGGCAAACGGGCATAGAGATAAAATATACTATTATTTGGATTTATTGGAATAGGTTACTTTTAATCCGAAAAAAAACTTTCGAAGCCGCTGGCAGAAAGCAGTACTTACATTAATAGTTATGCACATAATATATAACGTTAGTAACAACGATACAAAGTTATATAAGTTCTCTTCTTGTTGCACCTACCATACTCTCTCTGCATCACCCTAAGGTTGACTGGTGAGAATGCCTACGGCATTAAGTCCGCCTATGTAATGTTTTGTTGCATAAAGTTTAAATAAATAAATACAAATATGGTATATCAATCACGTAGAAAGTTCCCTGGGTTCATACGTGACCGTAAGCAAAATTCTGCCTGAATAAAACTCCTAAAAGGTAGGGTCAAAAAAGTCAACGTTGTCATTATTATGGAGCTAAGTGCAACGCCTTATAATGTATAAAAACTTATACCTATTAAGCTTAACCTTGGTAAATATTTTTCTATCATTTCTATGCATTATGTAGGTACTTTTAAAATCGTATTTCAATAATACCGAATGCTAATCGAAACAAAACATACATAGTTGTCTCATAGCGGCAGTCGCCATCATAATTTAGTTCGATTCGTTATTTAAAAAATGAACGCTCATTTATTCCTACGTTAAACGTCTTCGAATTTTAAAATTGAATAAATGTTTTTTAACTCATTCGAAGTGTTAATTTATTTTCTTTGTTAATAATAGAGTTTCCTTTTGTATTCAATTTTACAGCTAGCAATATTCGTTAATCTTATTCTCACCTTGTCCTAAATAAACTTTATGTTCATTACTAGGATAGTCTAGATAACAAAATTGAAACAGAAACAATATTTTGTAGGAGGTACCTAAAGTAAGAAGATTGGATTTGATTAATTATTGAAACGGAGTAAACTGTGTGTATGTAACTAGAAAAATAACACAACTTTTTTTTAAAGATAAATTCCTTTATGAATGAATGAATAAAGTTGATTAAGGTGCAAGCGTAATAATGTACCGTGGCCCCGGAATAGAGCAAGAGAAGAATTTAGTCAGTAAGAGTCTGACACTCCGTCCCGCCCACCCCGCGAGGGAGAACTCATTTGATAACTATCTCCTCACAGAAAAAAGCCAGTGGCTCAGCCACCGCGCAAACTATGCAGTCCGTCAAATATACACGCTTTTACCAAGCAAAAACTAGTAGGCACCTACCTACGTTCCAGGAGAGAGAGGAAAATTTCCATAAATTCTCTCGGGAACGGTAAAAACAAGACAACTTTTTTGTGTGCACAAACTCGCTTACAGAAACTAGTTATTATTTTAATGGCATGGAATGGCTGACGAATATACAGAACTCAAGGTATGGAATTGGCGTCACCCATGGGCAGTCCAAGTATGTCTCCAAATATAGAATGTGTATCAATAAGTATGATGTGATGCTATTTTTAGAACCATTCGGAGTTGCAGGTTCAAGCACAATTCTACCGCGAACTGGCTCAGTGGAGCAGGAGAAAAAATTAGGTGGTTTTTAGTAGGTTAGGTTGACACTTCCCTACCCATGGTGGGAAAAGTCAATGAATGATTTTCCATCTTCAAAAGAAAATTACAGTTTCCAGGTTACGTTGAAAAGTAGGAATACTATTTTTATCAATTAGATTCCACAGGTTTCTTGTACTGTATATTAGGTAATAATCAATTCCTATCACGGACCAAAAATATGTAGGTACTCGCGTTCATGAAGGTTCTAAACTGGCTAGGAAATCCGAAAAGTGACAAAGTTATCCTTTTTATACTAACTTGATTTATTGGTCCTAAATTTTAATACAAGTTTCGTATAAAACCCGGCAAAATAAGGAAAGCGGAAAAAACTCGTTCTAAGTAAAATGAACGAACAAAAATAGGCCATTTACATTTACCAAGTTTTCAGGGCCTAACTATCTGAATTGCTCCCAGCTTGCGAGATAGAGAGAGCAAATGAAGAAGGGGGACCCGTCACTAAAACCATTTAGCTTACACAAATGTTTCTCAAGACACCCAATTTCGAATATTCTCAAGGGATTTTGTAACCTAAAATAAGGAATTTTTAGGTCATAATTTTCTTTCCTGGTACAAAATAAAACTATATTGTTTATCAGCTTACAAGCA